CCACTGTGTTCATCCCATCCTCTGGGCACCTTCCTACCTCCTATAAGCCTGCCTCTTCTGCCAGTCTTCTAGCTTATGTCTATGGAATACATTGGAAGGGCCAGCTGAGTGGTTCAGTTGGTTAGGAGCTTGCTCAAGAGTGCGAGCTCTGAGCAACAGCGGTTCGAGTCCTGCCCGAGCTGAGCTGCTGCTGAGCTGCCAACAGATGGCAGGATGGCTCAGCAAGAAAAAAAAAGGAAAGGATGGAATTCATTGGGCTTTTTATGACATTGGACTTTCTCTCAGTATCTAAAACAGCCTGTCTTATGCACCTCCAACCTCTTCCTGGTACTGTTGCTTCATTTAAGAGGGCAGGGAAAAAATGCTATGTGTTCACCAAAAGCCATTTCTTCTGTCTCCTGAGAATGCAGCTAGACTACATTTTTCAACCTCCCTTACAATTAGGTTTGGTCATGTGACTGAAGGAATGTGGCTAGAAATGATGTCCAACTCTCATGTAATCCTCCATACCTTCTCTTTCTTCCCTTATTTACTGGCAAGATATTGAGGTTCTAACAGAGGACTTCAAGGCCATACAAGAAGACAGAGCCATAGGATGCAAGGAGCCTGGATCCCTGAATGACCACATGGAAGGCTGCTTATTGACCAGGAATTAAACTTTGTGTAAATAAGAAGTAAATGTTTGTTAAGCTACTGAGATAATGATGATGATGATAGTAGTTATGAGTGCTACCATAGTTCATGCTGTCTAAATCCAATTCTCAGCTATTCTCTAATTTCTCTGATTGATTTTGCTATATAACTATCCACACAGGCCTGATCTGATTGTCTTTCAGAGAAAAGTATCCCAAATACATATCTTTGATTTCCTGAACACCAGGTTTTAGTTGATATCACTGTCTCCAACTTTTTCATGTTCCTTAAAAGATTTTCTAAGGCTGGTGATTCTTATGAGTAGATTAGACTCCTTTGAAAATCTGACAGAAAATATAGATCATTACTGACAAAGCCCATCTATACAAGAACACCCCAAATTTCTGAGAAGTCACAAATTCCTGAAACCCACCCAAGATTTCAGGATAAGAATTCCTGCTCTAGGAATAAATACTGGATAAAAGTAAGTTTTATACCAGCCTTCCCTAATGGGGCTGCCCTCCAGTATTTGTTAAAAACATTCACTGGTTAATTTGGCTGCAAAATAAGTCCATAATAGCAATTTATGTTTCTGCTTTTATACTTTACTATTTAATTTTGTCTTACTACATGGGTTTTTCTGATTTGCTATGTAATTTTTCCTCGGGGGGGAAATACATTTGACACAGGGCAAATTTTGAGGGCAAAGATTTTTCCAGATCGCTCCCAACTTCAAACTTTCCTTTCTTGTTATTTTAACAGGGAGGCAACATTGCCAGAGTTTGCCTGCACAGTAGAATCTTCATGAAAGAAGAATAAAGACTTGATGGACAGGATTTACTTGGAGGGTATTTATGTGCTTAACAACATCTGATAGAGAGTTGTGTATAGGAGCTCCTATTATAGGGTAATCGCATGAAATTATATCTGAATATACTCTTATCTGTGCAGTAGAGTATTGCAGAAGAGAGAAACACCTTTGTGTGTTCAAATAAGCAGATTGGATGGTCTCAGTTCTAATGGGTTATTTGTAATGATTACCATCCATTCTTCTCTTTGCATTTAAATGTTTTTTTCTCCTCATGTTAAGACAAAGTATACAAAGAAAAGAAGCAGAGAGGCGAGAGAGGAAATATGAGTAAGAGAAAAAAGAAGGCCTGATTAGAGGGTTTGAAAACATTATGAAAATGAAGTTCTCCAAATTGGACTCTGGGCTTTGCTCTTGGGAACATGAGTATATTCAATCTCTGTGTGGCTGAAAAATTAAAAATGAGAAATGTTTTGTGCTTAAGAAGATGGCCGTGTCAACATTAGGACATACAGCT